TGCAAAAAAAAAAAAAAAGACAGATACACTGCTGGCAGTGATTCTGGAAAAGTGCTGGTGCTGATCATGTTATGGCAACAGCGTACCTAACTCCCGTCCATCCCCCAAGAGCCGAGCCTCTCCCGCCCCCTCCCCATCCTCCCCCGAGCCCAGGAAGTCAAATTCACTGAGGGCATCTTCCGAGTCATCTTCGTCCTCCTCGTCCTCGGGGTCCAGGTCTGTGGTCATGGGCTCTGAACCCATCTGGACATGAGAGCGGAGCAGAGTGTACGGATAAGTGTCTGACAACTCATAAACACAATATGTAGTTTATCGTTCTTTTAGTCTTTCCAGTCCACCTACTTCAATTTCTCCTCATTGATCATACCTTCACGTGTGACTTTTTGTTCTTGCGCGGGCCATCAATGCAGTCAGTGGCTATGCCTCGGAAGTCATCTTCCTCGTCGCTGTCGTCTTCCTCATCATCTTCACAGCCATGCAGGAAGGGGATCTTATCCAGCACCGAGCCACCCAGACGGTCCTTAGAGCTTTCCTTTCCCGCATTCCTACAAATAGACACATACTTTACAGTCCCTCCACGTGTTACGAAAAGATTATTTAGGACGAAAAGATTATTTAGGACAATACCTTACGGTGGGAGGCAGAAGGACATCAGCTATGCTGCATAATGCCATATTATCGAAGCAGTCTACATTACAGTAAAGCTGTCTTTAAACAGGTTTTATCAGTTGTTAACTTCCCTACTCAGACCAAACATTACAGTTTTGATAAGCTATCTTTGGTTCAAATATTTCTCCTCACAAGTTTCATCTGTACATGACCATATCTAATAGGTACATATATTTTCTGTGCTATGACACAGCTCTCTGCTTCTATAGCCACCTACACATTCTCTGTACAGTAAATCTCTTTCTACTTCCATAGCACTGTTTATTTATTTATTTTTTTATCAGTATGCCACTCACTGATGCATTATTACAAAGACTGTCAGATTTAAAATAGCATATCCTGATTAAGATCATTACAAGAGCCGAGTCAACCCCTGCTCTGCTTTGTGCAAGAGGTCTTTGTCAGAACCCACTCTGTGCAGTGCTGTATGGATCAGTGTAAAGCAATCACAATGTGCTATGATGTGTAAATTAGGCCATGCCTGTAAAGGGTGATTGAGACTTGAAAGTCTATGAGACTGATATCTGCCAACAGAATTCTGACAATAATTATATAAGCAGTATAATTTTATCAGGTGAAAAAAATTATGCAGGTAAAGTACCGGTATATAACAACAGGTATGGAAAGCTCATAGATAGTAAAGTAATTTATTCAAGACTAGAACAACAAAGAAAAAACAAAAAACTGGATTTTTGTTTCACTCATCCATTGTGTGTTAAGATGTTAGCTTTGGGTTGCAAACTGCGGGTACTGCTGGTGTCAACACTATTCGCATCTGTGGAGCAGAGAGACAGTATCTGCTTCCACAGTCTCACCTCTTGATCTGCTCCTCTATCTGTCTGACCAACATAGACTCTCCGCCTGCCCGGGGCTGAGGCTCGGGACAGGCTTCACCGGGTGGGGGTCCGTTAGCCTCAGGGCTGCTTCGCCCCAGCAGGGAGCGCACACGCTTAGACCGCATGTCCAGGATGGTGTCTGAATAACCCACTTCCTCAAGATATCTACATTTGCAGGAAAAAAAAGAATCAATATACACCCACATCTATATAAATTAATCATTCAGATCTAGATTACAAGTTTAAAACCAGTGATAAAGTACTGATGGATAGGGTCATGGGACGAAAGTAAAGCCTTACTTCCGTAGTAGCTGACGTCCTTCCTTCCAGGACATCTGATTGGCTGGCTCAGAGTCTGACTCAGCTGGCCCATTGGGAACTACAAAAAAAAAAAAAGATTGGTCAGTAGTGGTGCTACAGTAAGGCATGAGCAGAAACTGAAAAGCAGAATCTCTGGAAGTACAGCAGAAGGTAAAGATGCAACAGCAGTCAACAGTACAGTATTTCCAAATAAAAGAGCATGTAACAGTTTGTTTCAACATACGAAGGTCTGCTTCAGTCTCTGCTTTCTTTTCTCCAGGACTCTGGTCGTTTCCTGTCTTCAGCTTCTGGTGTTTCGCCCTGCAACCCCACAAAAGACCACATGAGGGCAGCACGACAAGTGCATATAATTAAACCTTGCACTGTCAAATCACTATGCCTAAACCATAAACAGCATCAAGTTAACAGACTGGATAACACATGTGAGGAGAGAGTGACAGGAAGAGCGAGTTTCCTGGTGTTTGCATTACCTCTCTTGTTTGAGGGCGTACTCCAGCATTTTGATCCGCCTTACCAGGTCCTGTTTCATATTCTCCTGCCCTTTCCTCTCGCCCTGTAGGAATGCCACTTGAGCCTGAAACACACACACATTCACAGAACGGTAAGGGCCGTACAAATTACGTTCAAAATAGGCACACACACATGCCACAGCCGCAGATATCAGCACACATAAAAACCAAAAATCAATTCAAACTGCCATCAAGACTCTAACTTAAATGTATTAGACAAAAGAAAAGCACTTCATATCAACAGAGATCACAAGCAACGACCGCAAAGGGAAAAACTTTTTATGTGACAAGCATAACAAACATGACTTCTGAGAATCCCGACGAGTAAAGTAGAGGGTTGTGGAACAGGGCTCTTATTTTTAACTTCACCTAACCGAGGCCTCACTGTGCATCCACAGAGGGGGAAAAACAAAACCAGGCAAGTTCAAATACCCTCTTTTAAGACACATCCTTCCTTTGTGTGCTTCCCCTTTCATTTTCCGTCCGGTTCCTTCATCACTGAGCTGATAAAATCCTTACCTTGAGGAAAGTGACATTCACAGCCGCAGTGAACATCACAGGTTTAAAGGAACTATGTTTAACAGGGGAATAATTTTTCAGCAAAACTGTGGTTTATACCTGGCAGTAAACATCCTGCTCTCCTAATGGCTGAAGGAGAAAAATCCTAGTGTTCCTAGAAGTAGGTTAAGAAAGGTCTGGCCCCTTTTCTGCTCTCTGGATTTGCATATAGGTGACTGTATCCACACTAGTTTTGCAGTTTCATTCTCTCTCTCTTGCACTGAGGCATTAGTACTGCTTGTTTTGCAGTCCATTTCTCCTCTGCACACTCCTGTCTGTGTCCACGAGTCTGCTCCCACACACATATGCAACTCTGTAAAACTAGAACAGTCTAAAAACACTGTCTCATGGGGCAGGCGCTCAGTCTACTTGAGAGGGTAGTCAATCAACCAGGAAGGCACACACACACAGTCACGTAACCAGCTAGGAGGGCTAGTGGAACACAGCATAATCTGCCAAGCAAACCCTACTACTGCTGCTGAGTAATCCAGATTAACGCTATGTGATTTTATATGCTTATCTGAGAATTTTGGAGATAACTGTCAAAGCTTGCATGTCACAAATGCAAGCACAGTCGAAGGGGTTGCGAATTGCAGGTCATTTTATGTAGTTTATACTTGGCCTAACCTCAGAGGAGCAGTGAGGTGCTTAAAATAAGCCCAGTAACTAATGAATTTAATGTTTTGTGTATCGAGCACTGAAAGGACATATCGAGAAACACTATGGTCATTTAACAAGCTAGTAAGACTGGTGAAACAAACTCTGCTTAACCTTATACAAACTGTTGTATAGCTAGCCAGCTGAGCATTTCATTTGTAATGATGCCAGCGTTGTGGAGTAGTGAACTACATGAAATTAAACTAGGAGTTTAAATACACATTGTAGGAGGTTGCTGGCTTGCAAATATGAACTACATTCATATGTGCATAGGGATTTAAGTCGTTAAACTACTATTTTGCCATTTTGTATAGTTAACTACTGAAACTACAAACAACTTGGAAAAAGGAATGGATTTATTTTGTAGTTTTATTTTACCGAGCTGCATGTTGAGCGGCTTTTCAGCTTTGGCAAGGATATTTTCAGTGCCAGACAGAACGGCGTGTTAAATAAGGACTTTGAGAGACAGCTCATGGGTCACACAAACAAGAGAGTCTGACGAATAAAGAGAGAGGCTCTTTATTTAGACTAGTGTTTGAGCTGTTCTCACTGTCTAAAAAGGTGCAAGGTACATTTTTTTCTTTACTGTATTAGCTGTAGTCATATAACACAAAATCCACAATTGTTTACGACAAAACTGTCATATTCCTTGCGGTTTTGTCTCCGTGAAAAGCCCAGGGCATGTTTAGGTCTCACGTAGTAAACTCAGCTGAGTGGCATTCTTTTGCTGGCATGTGACTTTTTTGTATCACATTTACATTGTCGGTCTGATCATTTTTTATACAGTGTAGTTTGAACTACTTTTTCTAAGTAGCTTTTGTTAACCAAAGTCGATTTCTTCCTAGAGCAGCTTTGCTGTAGTTCAACTTTTTCAAGTAACTGGTAGCTTGCAAAGCCACGCTTTCAGTTTAACTTCCCCAACACTGGCAGATGCTATTCTGTATTTGTACATTCACACAAGTACAAAAGCTTGTTGCCATGTAACATAATGTTACCAATGCTAAAAGACAAACCAGGCACAGCTTGGCTGTTGTGCACAGTAGACAGTGCCACAGTAGTTAAGAGGTCCAGATATCAGAGCCAGCATGTATGTTACAAACAGCTAAGAGCAAATGGAACACAGCTTACATTAAAATGAGATCTTCAAAGTCACAGTCTGTTCTGATACCGTGGTCTGCTGCAGGTCATCAACTTGGGTAAAACCAGTTAAATTCAACAGAAGGGCAGAGTGGCAGTGTTTGAATCAGTAGCTTACTGGTGAGTGAAAACACCAGTGTCAGCTCAACCTTGATACAGTCCTGCTTAAAAACCTAATGAAAGGCTAGGAGCAACGATTATACTATGGCAACTACTGCAGCTGCAGTAAGGTAGCTGCTGAGCTCTTCACTTTATACCTGGCTCTTATGTAGGCCTAAATGGTACTGAAGGGAACAGTGATGCAATGGCTTAGCTTAAAAAACAAAAATGTACACACTCAGTCTGAATTAAACTGTTTGAATCAGAAAAGTACTTCGTAATTTCCACCTCTAACTGGAATGTGTCTACTTCCCTCTTAAGGGGCAGGGCATGCATTTCTACTCCTACTCACACAGACAAGCTACAACTTGCTCACACACAGATAGCTATCACAACCCTGTGCACCAGTGTCATGTTGTGTTCCTACTGTGGAAGGACAGGCTGCCACTCAGTGTTATAAGTTAATGGTTATAGGTAAAACAGTGAGAGTATTTTATAAGATCTAGTTATTGCACAAAAATAACAGTCAAAGCTACAAATTATCCATCCATCATCTATACTGCTTATCCTAAT